GAGTTCAGGAGGGCTGAGTCTCCTAGAAAAAAAGCACAAGGTAGCAGCTTGTGAGCAGAGCCACAATGCTGGGACAGAACTGCCCCTACCCCAGTGGCCGATGCATCCACTTCCACGACAACTGTTTCTCAGGATCCGGGTGAATGAGGACTGGTGGGGAGGAAAACAGTTTTGAGTTCCTTGAAGGCCATTGCTGCTTCCGGTGGCCATGTGAAGGGCTGCTTAGTTGAGGTGAGGCGAGTCAGTGGCTGGGCAACAACGCTGTAGTTCTTAATGAACTTACGATAGAAGTTTCGAAAAACCCAGGAAGCGCTGGAGTTGTTTACGAGTATTGGGTTCTGGCCACTCCACAACTGCTTTGGTTTTGGCAGGATCAGCTCTGATCTGTCCCTCCTCAATGACAACCCTAGGAAGGTGATGGAGGAAAAATGAAAACTGCATTTCTCAGCTTTAACAAACAATTTGTTCTCCAGCAGCCTCTGGAGGACCTGACGAACATGACCAACATGCTCCTCCTTCGTCCTAGAGAAGATAAGTATGTCATCCAAATAGACGAACACAAAATGATTAAGGAAATCCCTCAGAACGTCATTAACAAAGGCCTGGAAGACAGCAGGGGCATTAGTTAGGCCAAAAGGCATCACCAAGTATTCAAAATGCCCTATGGAAGTTTTAAAAGCGGTCTTCCATTCATCTCCCTCACGTATCCTGACTAGATGGTAGGCATTACGTAAATCCAATTTGGAGAAGATGCTTGCCCCCTGCAGCAATTCGAATGCCGTGGACATAAGAGGTAATGGGTATTTGTTCCTAACCGTGATCTTATTTAATCCCCGATAGTCAATGCAAGGGCGTAATGTTCCATCTTTCTTCCCTACAAAAAAGAAGCTGGCACTCAGTGGGGATGACGAGCGGCGGATGACACCAGCAGCCACTGAGTCATTGATATAGGTCTCCATGGCTTCCTGTTCCTGCCTGGACAGACTGTACAAGCGACTGTTAGGCAGCGGAGCATCAGGCAGGAGCTCTATCGCGCAGTCTATGGTCGGTGAGGGGGGAGCAAGAGGGCTCGGGACTTACTGAAAACGGCAGCTAGGTTGTGATACTCGAGGAACCAATGACAGGTCGAGGGATCTGGACTGTCACAAAACTCCCACAATCAGGCTGAGCAGCACGAAGACAATTATCAGAACAGGACAGGCTCCAACTAACTATCCTACCTGACCCAATCAATATGGGGATTATGAAGTCTCAGCCACGGATGACCCAGCACCATGGGAAAACCGGAGGAAGGGATTACTTTAAATCTGAGAACCTCCCTGTGGTTCCCTGATGTTATCAACAGGGGGAGTGTCTGACATGTGACAGAAAACAAGAGAGAACCATTCAGACCCTTAGCAGATAATGGTGAACTGAGGGGTTCAATGGGGATGTTAAGTTTCTTAGATAAGTCTTCGTCAATAAAGTTATCCTCAGCTCCAGAATCAATTAAGGCTGTTAATGAGTGGGAAGTTGACTGGTGGCAAAGCTTAACATCAATAAGCAGGCGGCTGGTAGAGAGTTGGGGTTTGCCCGTGCTGCTCACTAGAGTCCCCACCTCTAATGAGCCTTGTCTTTTGGCCGTACAGGGCAGCTGGAAATTCTGTGCCCAGGTTTACCACAGTAGAGGCAGTCTCCTGATTGAAGACGCCTCTGTCTTTCTGTGGCTGTCAGGTGCGTTCTACCTATTTGCATGGGTTCGTCGTCAGGGGGCGCTGGAGCCTGTGACTGGGCCGGCGGGAAAACAGGGGTGGCGCTGTTGCGCTCCACCGCAGGTGGAAACAGCCGAGGAAGCGCTGAGGCAGACTGGCCCGGTCGCTCCCGGCGTCGCTCACGAAGCCTGTTGTCCAAACTGATAGACATTGTGATTAGTGAGTTCAAGTCCTTGGCCTCATCACTGACGGACAAACCGTCTTTTAAGGCCTCAGTTAAGGCTTGATAATATACTCCTTTGAGCGCCTCATCGTTCCATTTAGTGTCAGCAGCCAGTGTGCGAAACTCCACAGAGAACTCGGCTGCACTACGGGAGCCTTGGCGCAGCTTCAGCAAGCGTTTTGAGGCATCCCCAACATGATCCGGGTGATCAAACACCGTGCTGAGTTCTTCAGTGAACTGTTTAAAGGTAAGGGAAGTTAACGGTGTGGTGGAGTCAAACGCTAGCGCCCAGGCTAAAGCCTGATCCCTCAGCAGTCCCATGACATAATATATTTTGGATAAATCGGAGGCAAAGGCCATTGGTTGCTGATTAAAAACCATCCGACATTGTAACAGGAAACCCGACATTTTGACAGTTCACCTGAGAATGGCGGGGGATCGGGAACATACGGACCCCGTGAACTTGCCGGAGTGGGGAGAGCAGGAGGATCGGCCGTAAGGAGGCGGGTGGAGGAGCAGCTGCAGCAACAGCTGACGCGCCTGACGGTCCTGGACTTGAGGAAAGCGCAGAGGTTAGTCTTTCTACTGAGGCCAGCTGAACGATTTCCTGATGGAGAGATTGGCTGGCCGCTTCTAGTCCAGCGAGCCGATGAACGCTTTGCCCAAGCACGACTCCTTGTCGGCTTATGATGGCCCTCAGGGCGGCAGGGGGTTGCTGTTCAGTCTGGTCCATGTGTTTAATTGGTCAGATTGTTCTGTCACGCCCAGGGCACGGATGGACACAGGGACTGAACAGTAATACCAAACCAGACGTTTATTGGGAAATTGCTTATTCTTGGTCAGACAGGCCAGGGTCAGAACCGGGAATCCAAATCGGGATCAGGCAGTCTCAGGGTCAGACAGACAGGGGGTCGAAGCCAGGAGGTCCTTATCCAGCGGGGAGAGTCAGGGATCGGGGACAGGAGAGGAATCTAGGTAGAGACAGACAGGTTAGATACTGTGCAGTTAGCTCCAGTTACTACAGCAGGCCTGAAGGTGTTACCGCTGAGGGTTTCACAACAATCTGACGCCGTGCAGGAGGAGTTCCGTCCTAATATGGCAGCAGCTGAGGATCAGGCGGATGCCGATCAGGTGCGAGTGGTCACAGCTCAGCGGCAGCTGTGACATCATGTCACAGTTTGATTCACACATCAAAATCAGTTTCTGGTTTTCAAGATCTATTTTTGCAAAGATCAAGATATGTTAGAGGAATTAATTTAATTTTATTCTGCTTTATGTTGTCAAATAAATGTCAAATATTTGGCTGATTAATATCACAGATTAGTTATGATCAAAACTGAATCAGACGGATCAGGTTGGTTTCATTCATAAATAAATTCCTTATATGAAATTTGTTGCTTTGCTCCTGTTATGTTTTATGATTAAACTGTTTGATGTTTTTAGTTTGATTTTAAAAAAATAAATCATTTTAGGCCAACTTAGCTAAATTTGATGAAGATGCAGTTAATATTTGAATATCTGAAAGTTTCTCCAAATAGAATGAAGACATTTTATTTTATAAGCATAACTTTTTGTTTTAATCTAATCTTCAGGATTAAATTACTTTGTGTCTGAAAAGCAAACAGGAGATTATAAAGGAATTAAACAGGCTTTACTGAATATTAACTGTTATAACATTTGCAACAATTGTTGTAGAAATTATTCATTTGTCTCAGAGGTAAATTATTAATGTCTGTCTGGAGAAAGATGAACTTTCAGAAAGTGAAACATTTTGATGGTTTTACAGAAACTTATTGCATCATAAAACATCTTTATGACAAACAGCTGGACTGTTTTTTTTTTCTTGCCATTTATTGATTCTCTGGATAAAATATTGAGTCAGTATCTAATGAACAACATAAACTGATCGGTTTCATTTGCTTTAACATTTTGCTCAGTTTTATAATTAGATGTGTGTCTGAAGTTTTAGAGGAAAATATTTTTACCTTCTCAGGTTGAAACCACAGTAAGTTGGTCATTATTGTTTATTTAGGTAACTGAGATCATCATGTCTAGAATAGGACAGAAACGAAGCAGCAGCAGCTGATGGGTTTTATTTTCATGTTTAGAGACTGAATGAGAGGAAACAGATATGAAGATAATTTGACCTTCATTTGTGTCTCATCAGAGGCAGAGAGGACGCAGACTGGATCTGATCCATGAAGACAGTCGACTGAAACTGGGATTAATTCAACAAACATTGATTAAACTCACAGATACAATTTATAGTCAAAAACATTTCACCACAGAGACAATAGAGTAAAAAAGTGAAATATTTTTACACTCTGCTAACATCAATTCAGTGTTTGTTTTTTCTGCACTAAAAGAGAAACATTATTTATCTCAGTATCTGTTCATTCATTTAAAAAGATCCTTCTCTAGATTTGTTGAGCTGATATTTGTGTGTTTAATGCAGATTTTATTGTTTGAAAACCAAAAAACTTTTCATTTAAATATTTCAGGTTTTGATTTTTCTGCTGTTAAAAGATTGATCTGCTCTGATGCATCTTCTGACAAAACAGACACATGTTTAGGTTCATAAATCATTTAATTCCATTTTTACACATTTATTGTTTTCCTCACAGATATTTCAAACTGTTCTGCACCAAATTATCTAAATAAACTGTTAGTATTCATAGTGACTAAATTCCCTTTTCTTAAGTCAAGTTCTTCTTGAACTTGACTTAGCTGTGTTGGATCACAGCTTTAAAATCATTCAATGTTTTATTTATTAATAAATCTTAAAAACAGAGAAACCTGTTTTTAGACGTACTGTAAAATATTCAGAACAGATAAAAAAACATTTACTGTAAAAAAATAGAAAGTCTCTTTATTACTGGGATTCATGTTTTGATGCTCATTAAGGGAAACAAACAGATTTAAAGTAAAGATAAATAAATACATAAAAATACAAAACTTTTAGTTTTAAGCATTAAAGCAGAAAATAAACATGTCCTGAAGATACTGATAGCATGAAAAACAGACTGAATTCAGATATTAACATTACAGTTACAATGTTAATATTTGCAGTTAATTTATTGATTCACATCCATTTAAAAATTAATACATGTAAAAATCAAATGACTGAGTTAAACTTTTCTCCATGCAGAGTGTAGCAAACATTTCTGCTGCTTTATTTCTACAAAATGTTTTTTTGCCCTGAATCATGAAAACGTTTCCACTGAGTCTAATAACTGAAACCTGATCATTTTATTTCCTCACATCGTGTAAAATCAACTGAAGTTGATCTGTTTCTGTCTCTGCAGTTAAATCACATTCATGTTTTCATTTCTTCAAGTTGTTTTTTCATTTCCCTACATTTTTCTCTATTTCCTGTTTCCTCTCCTTCAGCTTATCAACATCTTTAAATGTTTTATCTATTAGTTTCTCTGTCATCAGTTCCACTTGTTGATGATCTTTCTTGCTCTCATCCAGTTTTCTCCAGGATCTCTGTCATCATTTCCGTCAGTTTTAAATATCCTTCTGCTTATACTCCATCTTGTTCCCAGTCTGGTTTCTCTTCATCAATAACTGTGTTAAATTTCTTCTCATCCTCATCAGTCATTCTCACTGTCTTCTCTCTTTGATCATTGATTGTTTTTCTCTGATTCTTCAGATCCTCTGACATCATCATTAATGATTCAATCAGCTGATCAATAATTCTCTGATCCTCATTTCTGTATTTTATCTCCTCCTCAAGCTTTGATTTCTTCTCAGATAAATTATCTTTTTCTTTCATGAGCTGCTTTTTCTCATCACTCATTTCCCCTTTTAGTTTCTTCTTTGCTGCAGAAACAAAAAAACATGAGATTCAGGTTCTATCAGTTTTCTATCAGTTGAGTTTCTGATTAGTAAAACATGTAGTTCAGAGAAATTCATTTATTCTCTGTCTGTTTTCAATAAATACATGGTTAAATATGGCATCTCATTAACAATAAAACACATTAATAATTAACTCACAGTTTTCAGTTTGTCTCCATTTCCAGGTAAAACCAGCAGCTCCAATAATAATTATGATTCCCAGAATCACAATGGAGCCGATAGAAACACTGCAGTCAGGCTGAGAAACGAAGAAACCATCTGAAACAGAGTCATGAAGAGTTTCATGTAAAAACAACAATATCTGGACTATTAATGGTTCAAATGTTTTATTTTCTACCTGGAACATGAATGTGTGTCTCTCTGCTCTGGTTGATGTCTCTCTGCTGGACTCTGCAGGTAAAGTTGTTGTACTTTCTCTTCTCTACAGTCACTCTGCTGCTAACGGTGTAAACGCCATCAGGATCGGAGCTTTTCTCTGCAGGTCCAGCAGACATGATGTTTCCGTCTGCGTCCAGCCAGAGCAGCTCAGGTTCTGGATACCAGCCTGCAGCGCTGCAGTCCAGCATCACTCCACTGCTGCTCACATCCAGTCCAGATAAACTGACAGCAGGTGAGGAGACGGAGCCTGGTGATCACAGGACAGGGAAGATCATTAAATTTATGCCTTGCAGATGATGGTTCATAGGCATGAAAACCAATTCAACCTAAACTGAATCCAAATCTAGGAGAAATAGACCAATTATACTTCAAACTTTGTAAACTCTTGTCTCCTTACAGATGGTTGTGTGTTAAAGAATTTCTTTCAGTAATTTTAGCAAATAAACTCTGTGTGACAATTTAGTGATAAAAGGAAAAATACTGCAGGTACCACATTTGGCCAGCAGGAGGCAGAATATAAACTATAACACATTTTACATGTGTAAATAAATCATTAACAGGATTTTAACAGAGTTAGTTATTTGGAGATCAATAATTCTCAATACATATTAAATATGTTATACTATTCTAACATATATACACTAACTACTGTAAAAATTTGTTTTATTTTAAGCTTAATTGTTAAAAAAAAATACTTTAAAAAGTTTCTTTTTCCTGAATCTGTTTTCTTGCATTCCTTTTGTTTTAGTTTTTAATACATCAAAGTTTGTAACTTTATATTTAGTTTGATTACATCATGTAGAAAAATCAGATTTATTATCAGTCACTCAGTAAATCAGTAATTTCTAATTTTGACTTGGTTAAAAATATTTTGAAGTTGTGCTACTTTTACTTTAAAAACAGACGCTATAAATGATCAGCACATTATTTGCCACATTACCAAGCAAAGAAAGAAGAAATAAAATTGATTTTTGTATTTACTGATTTGTGTTTTCTTACCAACAATCAGGTCAACATAATATTGTTGGATCTCTTTTGGGTTGTAGCATCTGAATCTCCCGTTGTCAGAGTGTTTCACCGCCGTCAGTCTCAACGAAACGTCTCCGTCTTTCAGTCTGTCTGTGAACACAGACGTTCTTCCCTTGTACGCCGCGTTTTTTTCATTGATATTTTCACTCCCTTCAAACCACATGAACACAAATCTGGGGTTCAGGTCCATTCTCCCCACTCCACCACCAGCTCATCGGGGTCCACAGTGACGCCCAGGTGACACGGCAAAACCACATCATCACCTTCCATGGCTGCAACCAGCCGAGGCCGCGTCGCCTCCAGAGACTCACCTGCAAGGAAAACACAAAAACACAAACTATTAGATTTTACTGGAAGATGTGAAGCTTTATAACTTCTCTGAGATTTTTATTCCAAAGCGTCTCATTTCTTTACAATTCATGAATCAACTCAGCTCTTCATTTAGCAGCGAACAGTAACTATCTTTGTGTCGACAGGCAGGAATGTCTCTGGTGTTTCTCAGTTACCTGTGCAGGTGAATCCCAGGAGCAGGAAGCAAATCATGAGCTCAGCAAACACAAACGCTTTGATCGAAGGTTTTAGAGATAAACTCTGAGGCGCGAGAATCATCCTGAAGACAGAAGAAAACAAAGTTAACGCATTAAGAAGTAAAGTAGAAGAATTTACACTGGAGAAAAGAAAGATCACCTTCCTGAATGCGTCGTCTCCTTTGTTCTTTATGAACTGCAGAGGGCAAAGGTCTCAGATCAACGGCAGTAAAATGAGGCGTGGCCCAGTTCTGATGGAGCAGTCGGATCCGGAAGGGAACAATCAATGGACTGCAGAATACAGTTTGTCCACATCTGATGTCCTCTTTTATTTTTATAGTTTTCATTTAGAAGATTAATCTGTCGCAGTTTAAAGCTGTGAAGGTCAAAGGTCAGAACTGCTGGTAGCCACTTGGGCTCTGAGCAAAAATACGACCTCTGTAGTCAACATCTGTCTGCTTTATACATTTTTTCATTATTTGTATCGTAAATCTGCAGAACAGAAAGTTTCATGTTATTTTACACAAACAGACTTAAATTCTGCTCAAAGTAAATAATTTGTGATTTGAAATTTGATCCTTTTATGTCTTTGTAGCTTTTCTGTTGGTAATTTAATCTTCTTCCAAACTGCTCTGCAGCGCCCCCTGGGCTGAGATGGGCCAAACTGTGAATCATTTGATCTGATGCTGGATATGTTGGTGAATTGATTAGAAACAAGTTTCCTGAAAGTCTCTCCTAAAGAGGCCAACAGGATTCTAAAGGTATTTGAATAAAACTCCATATTTATGTTAATTGCTCATTTTAATGATGTCACTAATGTGATGCATGTTGCTGGTTAGTGACAGCCATTGGTATTTACTCCAGTATCAGACTCTGGTCTTCCTCTGCTGCAGGCCTTTATCTCCACCATGACTGGTTCAACTTCCTGTCTCTGCTGCTGCAGCTGCTGCTGCTGCTGCTGCTGCAGCAGCAGCAGCTGCTCTCCACATTACATGCTGGAAACGTATTCATAAAACCTCAGACAGATGTGAACGTCGATCAATAGTGTTGATTCTTCTCAAAAAACCACCAGAGACAAAATGTTTGAGTATTTTATGTTGTTCTGAATGTTATATAAGTAAACATTTTGCAGGGTTGTGCATTAACTGTTCACTGACTGAATCTGACTGCAGAGAGGAAAACAGTCAATCATTTCATGCAAACGTCTGTGGCAACGGAGTCGATTTCTGCTGCATTTCACTGACAGTCTGCAGAACTCGCAGTGTTTTAAAAGGTGCAGCACAGAGTCAGTTATTTCTAGAAATACTTCTTCAACCTGCAGTTTATGAAGCCCAGAAATAAAGCAGACAGGAAGAGGAAGTCCTGGCCAGCGTGATCACAATGCGTCGGTGTGAAGAACTTCACTCCAGTAACGGTGAGCATCATGGAGGTCACATGTCTCTGCTTCTGTAAGTATGACGATAATAAGCAGCTGCTATCTGAGCTGATGTCAGATATTCATTTAATTTAATGTGTTTGCAGTGATGAACATGTTTGTTCTGCTGCTCTGAACAAACTGAACAGGCTGAAAGAGCTGGTGAGCATCACAAATATTATTACAAAAAGTTCAATTTAAGCTGTGTTTAGTTTTACTTATTGATCAAATAGATTGGAAATGAATCTGATCAGTTCAGCTGTTTTATAATAGTTGGTGTTGAGCATTATCTTTCTTTTCTCTATTTCCACTCAGATGCAGCTTTTCCGTACATTTTTCCAAGGAGGCTTCAGTTCTTTGAGTACGAGTCGTTCACTGTTCAGTGTGAGCTGATGGATGATGCTGACGTCTGGAGAGTAATGAGGGAGTTTAACAAATCCAGACCAGCAAACTCTTCAGAGCCCTGCAGCTCACCAGCTCCGTCCTGCACCGTTAAACCGGCTCTGGAGAAACACAGCGGGGAGTACTGGTGTGAAAACGGCCTGGGGGAGAAGAGCCGGGCGCTCAGCGTCTCTATCACAGGTAAATAATCCAGAAGAAAACTGGAATGAAGAAGAACATGAAATCTATTCATACTAAACTAATAACGGGAAATTAATGCAGAGCGTAGAGCTACTTCAAAAATCTGTCCTACATGCTTTTATTTATATTAAATTATATATATGCAATTTTTTGGCATTCCAAATAAATAATTTGCATGTGAGCAAATTGTTGTCATAAAAAGTTTGATTGACTTTGTTAATCAAAACTGCATTCAGTGTCAAAATGGACAAATCACATTGATGTATAAGTAATATTTGTGTACATGACTTGTGTCAAAGAGCTTGTGTGTGTGTGTGTGTGCGTGTGTGTGTGTGTGTGCGTGTGTGTGTGTGTGTGTGCGTGTGTGTGTGTGTGTGTGTGTGTGTGTGTGTGTGTGTGTGTGTGCGTGTGTGGGTGTGTGTGTGAGAGAGTGTGTGAGTATAAATAAGTGTGTTTAATGGGAGCGTGTCACTCAGGGTAACAGATTGGTTAAAACAGGAGAAACCTGTATTACCCTCATGCCTGCAAAGTCCAACATCCACATGTCATGATCCGACTGATGCATGTTTTTATCTTTTCTAAATAAATGATATTTGTTTCTCAGCTGGTCTGGTGATCCTGGAGGTTCCAGTCCAACCAGTAGCAGAAGGATCAGACGTGACACTCCGATGTATCCACCTGAAAACTGAGCAGCATCACATCAGAGATTTCTATAAAGATGGCCTCCATGTCATGACCTGCTACCGCAGCAACATGACCCTCAGAAACGTCTCCAAGGCCGATGAAGGAACTACAGGTGCAGCATCTCTGGAGCCGGAGAATCTCCTGACAGCTGGCTGGCCGTTCAGGAAACACTCTCAGGTTGGTTGACTTGTCCTGTTTGTCTCTACCCTTTATATTTATATATTAACTTATATAAAATCAACTTTTCAGGACCAACTGCAGAAACTCCTCCTGTTCAGAGTGAGCAGAACAAAACCTCAGTGTGGAGTCGGCAGCTAGAGTCGTGTTGTTCGTCTTGTTGTCTCTGGTCACTGCACTGATTCTCTACAAGCTGCGAAAAGGTGTAAAATCTTTAGTTACTTATTGACAGCATGTCTAATTATGCTGATCTCTTAAGAAGTTTTATTTTTCTTCTGCATAATTTCATTCAATAACTTGATACACTCAAACTACAAATGAATTTGGAGTTTTAAATAGTATAAATTTAAACATTTAGTTCAGGTTGTGGTAATTTGGTTTTGTGTTTAATTTTAAAAGCCGTTTACTAAACTATCTTCAGATATCTGTGAAGTGCAGAGGGGAGAATTTTTAACGTCTCGGTTTAAAAAACCTCAAACTAAAACCACAGGCTTCAGCAGAACAACCTGCTGTTTATTTTATTCATCATTATGATCAGAAATACACGCTGCAGCTGCAGCAGCTTCTGCATCAGGTTCACCTCGACAATATGAACATTATTTATTTAAAAACTGCAGAGAGACTAAATAAATCAATATGAAACTTCGGTCAGCAACATGAATCCTCCACACAGAGAAATGAGTGAGACTCAATGAGATCAAATGAATTTTGACTGGTTGTTTTGTTTCCCATCAGAACCAGAATGGACCAGAATCGCCGCCGGTCCAGTTCTGTCAGAGGAGGAAACGCATCACACAAACAGGAAAGACAGCTTTTACTTCTGAGAGCAAAATATGATCATAACCCGTCAGGAATCTTTGCTAAAAATGTTCATAAATTTAAATAGTTTCTTTTTTTTTTGGCAACTCCATTTCATTTAGAATAAAAATTGATTAAATTTATTAAAAAATTTATTCTCAGTAAAATTCTTTATTTTACATACAGTCTATTATATTTTCCATAACTTGACCAGGTTTCTTTAACTCATGTTTGGATATTAAATACATTTTTAATCTTTGACCTTTAAAGGTGTAACTGAAATATAAACAGTCAGCTGCAAATTTATTATCACATTTTCTCACTTGTATTTCATATTGTGCATGAAAACATTTTGGTTTTATGTTCAGTATTGTCCATTAACATTTGGACCTTTTATTTTGGACCAGTAATGAACTGGATGAGATTGTCTCTGCAGCCATATTGTTGTTGTTGTTGTTTTTATTGTTGTTGTTGTCACAAAATGTTCAGGTCAAATAAAATGTCAAACTGTAGGAGTTTATATTTTATTCACTGAGATTATAACATGTTTTTCTATTTTAACATGATTGTCATCATGACTATCAGTTAGTTTGAATATTCTAAATATATCTGACAATATTAAGAGATTTTGGATGAATTACATGTTTTTGCAGTTATTTATTTGTAGATGAGAAAAATTCAATATGAGAAATTTTAAGCCTTTTATTTTGGTTTGATTGATCTTAATGTTCCTGATGAACTTAATAAATGTCACTTTAAAAAAAGACATTGGTAAATACATGAAAGATAAAAGAAATACAAAAAGCTCGTAAAAACATAATTCATATTAGTAAAAAAAAGGAAATGGTAGCTATTTTTACATCTTGTACATTAATTAATGCTTTATAGCTTCTACAGTGGAAATCTTTACTGGTCAACATATAGATACATTAGAGGTCAGTTAAACTAAATTAATTATATAATCTCTCACTTTGTCCTGAAACTGAACAAGAAGCTTAGCGTACAGATAACAGAAAAACAACAAACATCACAAGCTTTGAATTTTTTATAATATGTTCTAATTTAATTCCAAAGGTTTCTAAACATCATGAGAAGAAAACTTTGTATCTGAGAAAATATTTTCATCTTATATTTCTACTCAGAAAAAAACTTTAATTAAAAATCAGCAAATCTGCTGAATTGAAACTCGACGTATTTTCTGACAGAAATCAGCTGAAGTTGATCTGTTTCTGTCTCTGCAGTTAAATCACATTCATGTTTTCATCACATTCATGTTTTCATTTCTTCAAGTTGTTTTTTTATTTCCTGTACATTTTTCTCTATTTCCTGTTTCCTCTCCTTCAGCTTATCAACATCTTTAGATGTTTTATCTATTAGTTTCTCTGTCATCATTTCCACTTGTTGATGATCTTTCTTGCTCTTTTCCAGTTTCTCCAGGCTCTCTGTCATCATTTCCTTCAGTTTTAAATATCCTTTTGCTTTCTGCCATCTTGTTCCCCGTCTGTTTTCTCACTTCATCAATAACTGTGTTAAATTTCTTCTCATCCTCATCAGTCATTCTCACTGTCTTCTCTCTTTGATCATTGATTGTTTTTCTCTGATTCTTCAGATCCTCTGACATCATCATTAATGATTCAATCAGCTGATCAATAATTCTCTGATCCTCATTTCTGTATTTTATCTCCTCCTCAAGCTTTGATTTCTTCTCAGATATTTATCTTTTTCTTTTTTCATGAGCTGTTCTTTCTCCTCACTCATTTCCCCTTTTAGTTTCTTCTTTGCTGCAGAAACAAGAAAATCATAAGATTCAGGTTTTCTATCAGTTTTCTATCAGTTGAGTTTCTGATTAGTAAAACATGTGGTTCAGAGAAATTCATTTATTCTGGGTCTGTTTTAAATAAATACATGGTTAAATATGGCATCTCATTAAACAATAAAACATTAATAATAACTCACAGTTTTCAGTTTGTCTCCATTTCCATATAAAACCAGCAGCTCCAATAATAATTATGATCCCCAGAATCACAGCAAAAATGTCAAAAACACTGCAGTCAGGCTGAGACACGAAGAAACCATCTGAAACAGAGTCATGAAGAGTTTCATGTAAAACCAACAATATCTGCAGTATTAGTGGTTCAAATGTTTTATTTTCTACCTGGAACATGAATGTGTGTCTCTCTGCTCTGGTTGATGTCTCTCTGCTGGACTCTGCAGGTAAAGTTGTTGTACTTTCTCTTCTCTACAGTCACTCTGCTGCTAACGGTGTAAACGCCATCAGGATCGGAGCTTTTCTCTGCAGGTCCAGCAGACATGATGTTTCCGTCTGCGTCCAGCCAGAGCAGCTCAGGTTCTGGATACCAGCCTGCAGCGCTGCAGTCCAGCATCACTCCACTGCTGCTCACATCCAGTCCAGATAAACTGACCGCAGGTGAGGAGACGGAGCCTGGTGATCACAGGACAGGGAAGAACTGAAGAATCGCATCGTTTAGCAGTTATACTGTCATAATCAGCTGGTAGATAAAAAGTACATTTAAAGAAAGGCAGAATAAACTCCATATTTTAATGCATGTTTTTCTTTTTTAAGTGTGAAATATTTATTAACAGTTTGTCCAGAAGTTACATTGAAGGAGATTTTTTTTATTTAATGTTAAATTTACTCTATTATTTCATCCCATTTGCTTTTAAATGTAACAATCCGACTATTTTAACTGTTTTAAACTTCAAAATGTTTAAATTATGTTAAAATATGTTTAAATCATTTTCTGTCTTGAATCAATAATTTTAAATAACTTGGTATTGATAACCTTACAGCTGCACACAGCACAGATCTTTCAAATACTACAGATTATAATACACAATCTGAGTTAAAATGTTAAATTGTTTTTTACTTTTAGTTCATAGGAACACATTTCCAGTGAGTTTTATTCAAAATCAGATAATTAAACTTGTCTATAAAAATTCTTTCAACTTGCTGATTTTGGAACATGATGTAAAAACTTTGACAAGACTGATGTTAGTTTTTTAGTTAAAATGTCACTGCAATTATTCCTTAGTAAAGTTTAACATGAAGAATGCTTCTTAATTGTATGTTGTAAGTTATTTTCTTTTCTTACCAACAACAAGCTCAACAAAATATTCTTTCTTCTCTTTCGGTAAGTAGCATCTGTATTTTCCATTGTCAGATATTCTGACATCAGAGAGTTTCAGTGAAATGTCTCCATTTTTCAGATTTTCAGGAAATTGACGATCTTCCCCTGTAGGCTTCGTTTTGTTCGTCTGCATATTCTTCACCGCCGAGATTCACAAACACAAATCTGGGTTTCAGGTCGGGTCTGCCCCACTCCACTGTCATCTTAGTTGCATCTTTAGGAGGATTCAGGAAAAGCGGCAGAACCGCGACCTCACTGGCCGTTACTGTGACCGAATCCGTCTGCTGTGACTCACCTGAAAATGACACAAGATGAGAAATTTCACATCTAGTGTCAAGTTGTCCTCAAACCAGCAGAACAAAAATCACCTTGTGTTGGTTCATGTTCCCAATGTCTCAAGGCTTGTTTGGAGGCACTTTGCTGCTCTCTAGTGGTTGCAGTTAGTATCACTAGCATAATACTTTAAACTAAATCTAAACATATTCCAGTAAATTTGTGCAGATTTTACCTTTGCAGGTGAACAGGAGGAGCAGGAAGCCAATCACAGCAAAGACGGAGAGATGATTCAAAGAAAACATCTTTTGGTTATGATCCAACCTGTAAATTTAATATGAAAGCACAGAGCATATGGTTTTCAATTAGTTTAGTGTTAAACGGTTTTAATATTTTGAAAAATGACATGGCGACTATATAAAGAGACATTGTTTTACATCGCACATGTTCTTTAGCAGTCAACCCTAAAACTCTGACCCTGACCCTGACCCCTAGTCATGATTGATTTCAACTAGAACTAGCATTTTATTTCTAAATGTCCATCTTTTTGAACAGTGAATAAGAAAACAACTCTTCAATTAAGACATAGAGGTACATGCAAACTTCCACTTTAAAGGAAGAGATTAAATAAATGTTTATTAGCAGTAAAGAAATCCTTACCAACATACAAAAGCTCCCAAAGGTACTCAACACAAAACATAGTCTTTAAAATTTTTTATATATAAAATGCTCCTTCAAGTTTCAATGAATAGTAAAAACATTAGAAAATTATCAGTAATATTTTAAAACCAACAAAAAAATTGTGGCAGGGCTAAAAAAAACCCCCCAAAAATGTCGTTTTATACAGGAGAGAAAACGTAACACGCTGGATCTACATTTTGATGAAGATAAATCTGCAGCAGATAAACAATCATCATCATCAGAACCTGAACCGTCAAGTTACAAGATCCAAAGACAAACATTTAAATTTAAAGTCATACTTGTTAAATCTTTTACATTTAATTGTTTAAAGCATTAAAAAACTGTTAGTTTTCTCACTGTTACATTTCAAAAGAAACTCATAATCTAACTATCAATTTGACTAAACATGACTTTCAATAACCTGAACAATTATAAAATATTTCAGACTAGATTAATAACTTAAAGAGATAAATTGAGCGATAGAAAGTTAGAAGCTTTCGGTACGAACCCGCTCTGCAGAGACACACTTATGATCAAACCAGGTTCAGAATAACAGGAACTAGAGATTCTGGGTCAAAGTCCAGGAACAACTGTAATAAAATAAGGCAAGTTCAGTTTTATTGGTTGTAACGTTTGCAGAGATTTATCATAAACATAAAAGGTTTTCTGTTTGGTTAAAGACTTTTAACAGGAACTTTAAACAAAGGCCCAAATAAATTTGTTTCTGAAATGATAGAAAATCTTTTTCTAGATATTCAAATTTATTCATCTAAAATAAATTGAATTTCATCACTTTAACCCAAAAACAAGAGTTTGAATAAATTAGTGAGATGCCCAGAAGCAATAAGAGTGTATGTAAACTTCTGACTCCAGGTGTTGCAACATAGAGATGAATTTCCCAAAATTAATATCTGTGAATGTTAAAGGAAGAAAAGAGTCAATAACCACATTTTTGATCATTTTATTTTGGTAATAAATCAAAGATCTTTTTAACACAAGTTTGTGAAATAAAATTATAACAGGGTTAGGGTTAGGGTAGGGTTAGGGTTAGGGTAGGGTTAGGGTTAGGGATCAGAATCAGAATCAGTGTTTGTACAGAATAACATGTTTCAGTAGAGCCTATCAAAAGAACAAAAACAACATGAGACACGAGGATACAGGTGCACTTTCATTAGAGAAAAAATAATAACATGAAGGTCAGAAAATCATGTCTTGCACTGTCCTACCAGAAACTGTATGGAGTTACAGAGAAACTCTTCATATACAATGTCAACATAAAGACACAAAATGTTAGAGGCTCCAGGTCTGCAGTCCAGACACTTTGCTCATCCAGGGAGGAGTTGTTGTAGTTCTGCATGTTATGCATGTGTGAATCTGTAAATACATCTGTGAACACCGTCCCAGTCGCTGTATGTTACCTCAACATACAGTCTGGTAACACTGTATGTTACCTCAACATACAGTCTGGTAACACTATATGTTACCTCAACTGTATGCTGTGGTAACATACAGACCAATAGGAGAGGTTTTTTCCTCTCCAATGGTTCCATAGAAAACAGTCAGCAGGTTCAGACTTTACCTTTCAGCTACTGGACACCTGCTGGTTTTCTGATCTGTAAAACTAAATTGAATTTTCACTCAACTCTTTCTGGTTCAGTTTCTTCCTGTCATCTGCATCTCATTTCACGTTTCTGTTCTCATCTCTATGGGTTCCAGAGCTTTCTCTATGTTCAGTAACTGTCTTTCAATACTTTTCTTTGTCTCATCTAATTTCCACTGGGTCTGTAGCAGTTTTTTTCCTTTAACAATGACTCCATGTCATCAGAACTTTTCACGTTTGTTAATTTGGTTTCTACCAACTGAACTTCTTCTTTGTTTTTCTTCCTGTCAGACTCGACATTTCTGAGTTGTTCTACCAGATGATGTTTCTGGTTCTCCAGTTCAGTTTTTACTTTATTCAGGGTGGAAAAAGTAATTCTCTCTCATCCTGTCTTCCCCCTCCACCTTGGTGTGTGGACTGCTTTGACTCGATCCCTGCATAAAGGAATAGATTAATAACACATGAATAACATTTATTTATCATCATCTCTGCTCACTTACTGGTCGTCTCATTTTCAGTCTCAATTTCAGTATCTTGTTTATTTCTTCTGCTCGAGTTGCTGATGGTGGGAAGAAGCGGCTCTTCCTCATCACATCCTTGCTCAACATCTTGATGCCTCGACTTCTTACCTACCATGGAAAAAATAACATCATCACATAAAGCAATACTTTGAAAATCTATACCGTTTAAATTTAAATAATTTTAAATATTTTACATATGGTCATAACAAAAAGAATTCATGTTTACTGCAAAATATTTGGCAGATTCTCAGTAACTGTAACTTACATACATGGATGTACTTGAAGACAAAGGACAATAAAACCCCAATAACCAGTCCAACAGCGCCGCCGATCAGGGCCCATTGCAGAGAGTCCATTTCAAGAGTAGAACTTAAACTGATGAACAGTAAATAAGTTTCTTTTTAACATGTTATATAAACATATATTCATAGTTACATCTCTGTATTAAAAACTTATTCAGAAGATGTAAAATCAACCTAAAAACTAAAAAGCTGAAGTTTAGACAAGTTTTAATGTGTGTTGCAGTTTTAATGTTATTTTTTTATGTTGCAGAATCCAAAAAGCAGGAGGAGGCAGAATCCTGCATAATTACAGAGAAATAAAGAAACTCATCAGCAGAACAACTGGAGACAGCAGGAAATAGGCAACAAAATGTAGCAGGATGATCTGATTCTGGAGAGGAGAAAACCAGGAAGTAGAAATATTATCATACGAAAAACAGGTGTTATGTTCCAGATGCGAAAAAAACAAACAGAAAGTTTTACAACAGAAAACAATATCTATGTTCAAAACAAAGACAAGATTTCACACACAAAAAAAATAAACAAATGGATCACATGAAGCTTTGCTCTGATTAACTGACATAAAGTAGAAAACAAAATAAATTCAGGCATTACCTAATAGTTTTAATATTCTAAAAGCAAACCTTTTGAGTTCACGACGAAGCCGCTTCAGTTCAGCTCAACGAAGACGAATGAGCAACAGGATCAAAGTCCTGCAATAAACTAAATGCTTTCAGTCTTGTGACCTGAAAATAAATCAAGTTTATTAGTACAGAACATTTCAGCAACAACACAGTTCAAGTGCTTCACATCATAAAAACACGAAAATATATAAATGATTTAAATGATAAAAAAAGCCCTTATGTATGTATATGTGGTTGTGTATCTGTGCACACTAACATATTCATTTTGAGTTTACAAAATTAGTATTTGTCTCCTTTTAGAATCTGTTAGGGTGTGTGTGTGTGTGTGTGCGTGTGTGTGGCATTGAAGAAAAAAAAAGAAAAGTTTTTTTACTAACAGTTGGAAGAGAGGAGATTTATTTGAAAATGTTCAAAACTTTATAGAAAAGTTATTTTTTGATAAATTTTACTTTTAATATTTCTTAGATAAGTAAAACATGACACTGGTGGTGCATATTCTGCCTCTTTAATCAATTTCATATTTACAATATTTTTCTGAATTCCCAAATATTTTAGTCCTGCAATTTGTTCTATCATTCAAAACATTATTTTCTTTTTATTAATTAAATACAAGCACCAAATTTCTGTGGAAATCAAATTAAAACACATAAAATATGACATGTATTCTAAAGAAAGATCAACACAAACACTGAAAATTATTTTTAACGTTAAAAAACGTCTTTAAAAATATGCAAACAAATTACTAAACAGCTTAATAAGCATCTAACATGATCAATAACCTGAGCTGGTGATATGAGCTTTACAATTATACATTTGATGTTAAAACCTTTATTTACATTTGACATTTTTAACAAAATAATATTATTGATTCAGTCTTCAGCAGTTGTTGTTTTATTGTCTATGTTGCTTCAGTTCATTTCATTTTGAATAGTTTTGGTTCCTGGTTAAATATTCTGGTTGTTGCTGTTTTCATTTCATTAGAATCAGATCATAAATTGTAAAATAATAAAAGCCTTTTTGAAGCAGACAGTGGGTCTGAGAGGAGATTTAAAATGTTGCTGAAACACTAAAGAGAAGCAGAACCAATAATAATCTAGTTTCAGTAAATCTTGCTGATCAGTCACTTCACAATAGTTTTTTAGTCCTTTGTTCTGTTTTAGACACATTTTCTTGTTATTTTCTAAACATTCTTGTTTTTCTCCATTGTTCTCATCATATGTATCTCTATAGGTTCCAAAGCTTTCTCTATGGTCAGTATCTGTCTTTCATAAAGTTTCTTCTCCTCATCCAGTTTCCACTGAGACTTTAACAGTTCTTCTTTTTCTCCTAATAAAACATCATGATCATCATCATCATCATCATCATCATCATCATCAGAGTTTTTCCTCTCAGTTATTTTTTTATCCACTCTCTGAACTTCCTCTTTGTTTTCCTTCCTCTTCGTCTCAACGTCTTTCAGTTTTTGCAGCAGCTGATCTTTCTGCTTCTCCAGTTCAGTCTTGACTTTGTTCTGCAGCTTCTGGTTCTCCTCTGTTGAAGGAAATAAAGATATAAAATCTAAAAGACACTCAGAATATGATCAGGATATCTACATACTGCAGTCAGTTTTCTGAAGATTTAGCGTTCACCTAAAGTTTTTTGAAAACGTAAGATGAGTTATTTTACGATTTGTCTAGTCTGAATTATTCTTCTCTGACTATTTTATAAAAAATGAGGAAAATCAAATGTAGTTCTGCTGAATCATCAAAAAAAATATTACAATCACAGAATCTGTCTTTTGTGAGTAAATTATCTGTAACATTAAATATTTAAACCTGAGATTAGAAGAAAATGAAAATTTACAATGAAATATATATTTAAACTCTAAACTCCACCTCGACTTTGTTCTTTTCCTCCAATCTTTATACATTTGGTCAAATCAAACTGAATTACATCAATATTTTTATTCAGGATGAAATATTTAACGTTGACAAGAAAATGGAAAATATCACTTCATAATTATGTTATTGAAAGATTAGAAGATAAACACATGAACATCAACTATAAAGTGTTAGAAATGCAAACATTAAAAAAATCTTAAATAAAATAATCAATAATAAGCCTGGCGGGGGAACAGGTAAAGCCCCACCTGGTGGCCCGCCAGGCTTATAATACTTTACCTTTTTCCTTTTCCAGTTCTTCTTTGCATTCTTCAAGATCCTTTTTCCACTTATTGATTTCCTTGTATATTTCACAAAGTGTGAACTTTAACTGATTCTCTCTCTGTTCTTGTTCTTTCATTTGTTCGATCAGTTTATTGATCTCGTCTGTTTGGGAAACAAAACATACAAACTTCCAACCTCAATTTTTTGACTAGAATATATACAGTCATTTGTTCATGGTGATTATTATTATTATTATTATTATTATTATTATTCATCCAGTCTAAAAATGAGGCAGAACAAATTTTGTCCTTTCGCTGAATCATCAATAAACTGTTACAATCCCAGATTCTGTATTTTGTAACTAATTCATCCATAACTAAATATTTAAACTTTTTGTCTAAGGTTACCTTTTGCCTTTTCCAGTTCTTCTTTGCATTCTGCATGTTCCTTTTTCCACTTATTGATTTCTTTCTCTCTTTCACCAAGTGTGAACTTTAACTGATTCTCTTTCTGTTCTTGTTGTTTCATTTGTTCGGTCAGTTTATTGATCTCGTCTGTTTGGGAAACAAACATAATGAATTACGTTTAGCAGAAGCAATATTTTATAATTAATGTTCAAAGTATGAAAACAGAGTGTCAATAAAGACGTGTTAACTTGGAGGAAAATGAAATAGTAAAATAAAATCTATATTTAGACCCAATCAAATGTTATAACTGTGATTTCTTTTATCATTGATTTGTTTTATTCTGAATTTAATACTTTTGTTCTGAGTAACATCAAGTTAAATTGTCTCTTCTGTTCGTAACTCTGATAATCTGAATATCTTCAAACTCCAGTCGTTTGTTTTTGTTCAGTTGCTGTTTTCTGATGATTTTCTTTTAGCCTAAATTCTTTCATTGTGCATTAAATGTCCTCTATATTGGTTGAAAGGTTCTCTAATAAACATTCAAAATGTAACTGATTTCATGGAGCTCTGTGTCCAATATTTTAATGTTTATCTCAGATTTCCAGTTTGATTTTGTTTCCTTTGAGTTTAACTCTTTCATTTCTCAGTCTGGATATGAAATCTTTCTCTTTCTTTTCTTGATCTTCTATTTTCTCTGTCAGGCTAAAATTCTTTACTGTGTTGGAAACAAAAGATACAAATGCAAAAATACAATTTAAATAAAATATTGTGATCTAAATTTCAGAAATAATCATATGCTGAGATTGGAGGAGTATAAGAAAGAATTCCTTATGCTGTTCTCTAAATGTATAAGGAAGAATGTATAATCCTTCCTTATACATTTGGTCAAATCAAACTGATTTTTGGTCAAATCAAACTGATTTTATTCTGGATTAAAATATTTAACATTGACAAGAAATTAGAAAATATCACATGATAATTATGTTTTATTGAAAGATTAGAAGATAAACACTTGAACATCAACTATAAAGTGTTAGCAATGCAAACATTTAAAAAATCTTAAATAAAATAATCAATAATAAGCCTGGCGGGGGAAAAGGTAAAGCCCCACCTGGTGGCCCGCCAGGCTTATGATACACTGAGAAAAACCTGCAAATCATTAATAAACTGTTAAAATCCCAGATTCTGTATTTTGTAACTATTTCATCCATAACTCAATATTTAAACTTTGTGTCTTTTTACCTTTTTCCTTTTCCAGTTCATCTTTCCATTCTTCAAGATCCTTTTTCCACTTATTGATTTTCTTTTCTATTTCACCAAGTGTGAACTTTAACTGATTCTCTTTCTGTTCTTGTTGTTTCATTTGTTCGGTCAGTTTATTGATCTCGTCTGTTTGGGAAACAAAACATAATGAATTACGTTTAGCAGAAGCAATATTTTATAATTAATGTTCAAAATATTATTAAAACTGAGTGTAAATAAAGACATGTTAGTCTGGAGGAAAACCTAAATTCTACATAATATTCATCATTTTCTATTTTATTGTCCATTAAATGTCCTGGACATCAGTTCAATGTCTGTCACAAATTAGTTTGCAACCTAAAATATTCTGATTTCATGGAGCTCTGTGTCCAATACTTTAATGTTCATCTCAGATTTCCAGTTTGATTTTGTTTCCTTTGAGTTTAACTCTTTCATTTCTCAGTCTGGAGATGAAATCTTTCTCTTTCTTTTCTTGTTCTTCTATTTTCTCTGTCAGGCTAAAGTTGTTTACTGTGTTGGAAACAAAAGATACAAACGTAAAAATACAATTTAAATAAAATATTGTTATCAAATGTTCAGAAATTTATCATAACCTGAGTTTCGAGGAGTGAAAATTTATAATGAAATATAAATTTAAACCCTAAACTCCACCACAACTTTGTTATTTTTCCTCTAATCCTTTTACATTTGGTCAAATCAAACTGAATTACATCAGTATTTTTATTCCTGATGAAAATATTTAATGTTGACAAGAAATTAGAAAATATCACTTGATAATTATGTTTTACAGAAAGATTAGAAGATAAACACCTGAACATCAACTATAAAGTGTTAGAAATGCAAACATTTAAAAAATCTTAAATAAAATAAGCCTGGCGGGGGAAAAGGTAAAGCCCCACCTGGTGGCCCGCCAGGCTTATGACACACTGAGGAAAACCTGCAAATCATTAATAAACTGTTACAATCCCAGATTCTGTATTTTGTAACTCATTCATCCATAACTAAATATTGTCGTGCTTTTTGATTTCCTTTGTTAAGGAGGCGTGTCGGTACTTGAAGATACACGACAAAAAACGAAGGGTGTCTTGCAGAAACTTTATCCTTCAGCACACGGAGGAATTACAACAAAAACTGAGCTGTTGCCACAATGAACTGTGTGGCTTCTGGCCTCTAGCTCTGGCACGGACAGCGTTCAGCGATGTCCGTGCAGCGAGCGGTGAGCGCCATATCCAACTACAGTAAAAACATAACGGATCAGCTGTTAGAACTGGTTGCTAAGGCAACCCCAGCTGTCAAGAACAGAATAAACAGACTTAAAACAACAAATCTCGCGATGCGACCTTCCTTACAATATTTAAACTTTTTGTCTGAGGTTACCTTTTTCCTTTTCCAGTTCTTCTTTGCATGTTTTCAGTTCATCTTCTCGTTCACCAACTCTGGTCTTTAACTGATTCTCTTTCTCTTCTTGTTGTTTCATTTGTTCGGTCAGTTTATTGATCTCGTCTGTTTGGGAAACAAAAGATACAAACTTCCAACCTCAATTCTTTGATTACAAGAATATCTACAGTCATTTGTTCATGGTGATGATGATGATGATGATGATGATGATGATAATGATAATAATATTACAATTATTATTATTATTATTATTATTATTATTATTATTATTAGTCATCCAGTCTAAAATGAGGCAGAACAAATTTTGTCCTTTCGCTGAATCATCAATAAACTGTTACAATCCCAGATTTTTTAAGTTTCTTTTTCCACTTATTGATTTTCTTTTCTATTTCACCAAGTGTGAACTTTAACTGATTCTCTTTCTGTTCTTTTTCTTTCATTTGTTCGGTCAGTTTATTGATCTCGTCTGTTTGGGAAACAAAACATAATGAATTACGTTTAGCAGAAGCAATATTTTATAATTAATGTTCAAAATATTATTAAACCAGAATGTAAATAAAGACATGTTAGTCTGGAGGAAAACCTAAATTCTACATAATATTCATCATTTTCTATTTTATTTTCCATTAAATGTCCTGGACATCAGTTCAATGTCTGTCACAAATTAGTTTGCAACCTAAAATATTCTGATTTCATGGAGCTCTGTGTCCAATATTTTAATGTTCATCTCAGATTTCCAGTTTGATTTTGTTTCCTTTGAGTTTACCTCTTTCATTTCTCAGTCTGGATATGAAATCTTTCTCTTTCTCTTCTTGTTCTTCTATTTTCTCTGTCAGGCTAAAATTGTTTACTGTGTTGGAAACAAAAGATACAAACGTAAAAGTAAAACAGAAATAAAATATTGTTATCAAATGTTCAGAAAATAACCATAACCTGAGTTTGGAGGAGTGAAAGTTTGAAGTGAAATATAAATTTAAACCCTAAACTCCACCACAACTTTGTTCTTTTCCTCTAATCCTTATACATTTGGTCAAATCAAACTGAATTACATCAGTATTTTATTCTGGATTAAAATATTTAACATTGAGAAGAAATTAGAAAATATCACTTGATAATTATGTTTTATTGAAAGATTAGAAGATAAACACTTGAACATCAACTATAAAGTGTTAGCAATGCAAACATTTAAAAAATCTTAAATAAAATAAGCCTGGCGGGGGAAAAGGTAAAGCCCCACCTGGTGGCCCGCCAGGCTTATGATACACTGAGAAAAACCTGCAAATCATTAATAAACTGTTAAAATCCCAGATTCTGTATTTTGTAACTAATTCATCTGTAACTAAATATTTAAACTTTTTGTCTGAGGTTACCTTTTGCCTTCTCCAGTTCTTCTTTGCATTCTTCAAGATCCTTTTTCCACTTATTGATTTCTTTCTCTCTTTCACCAAGTGTGAACTTTAACTGATTCTCTTTCTGTTCTTGTTGTTTCATTTGTTCGGTCAGTTTATTGATCTCGTCTGTTTGGGAAACAAAACATAATGAATTACGTTTAGCAGAAGCAATATTTTATAATTAATGTTCAAAGTATGAAAACAGAGTGTCAATAAAGACGTGTTAACTTGGAGGAAAATGAAATAGTAAAATAAAATCTATATTTAGACCCAATCAAATGTTATAACTGATCTCTTTTATCATTGATTTGTTTTATTCTCAATTTAATACTTTTGTTCTGAGTAACATCAAGTTAAATTGTCTCTTCTGTTCGTAACTCTGATAATCTGAATATCTTCAAACTGCAGTCGTTTGTTTTTGTTCAGTTGCTGTTTTCTAATGATTTTCTTTCTTAGCCTAAATTCTTTCATTGTGCATTAAATGTCCTCTATATTGGTTGAAAGGTTCTCTAATAAACATTCAAAATATTCTGATTTCATGGAGCTCTGTGTCCAATACTTTAATGTTTATCTCAGATTTCCAGTTTGATTTTGTTTCCTTTGAGTTTACCTCTTTCATTTCTCAGTCTGGAGATGAAATCTTTCTCTTTCTTTTCTTGTTCTTCTATTTTCTCTGTCAGGCTAAAATTGTTTTCTGTGTTGGAAACAAAAGATACAAATGCAAAAATACAACAGAAATTGTCATCAAATGTTCAGAAAATAACCATAACCTGAGTTTGGAGGAGTGAAAGTTTGAAGTGAAATATAAATTTAAACCCTAAACTCCACCACAACTTTGTTATTTTTCCTCTAATCCTTTTACATTTGGTCAAATCAAACTGAATGACATCAGTATTTTTATTCCTGATGAAAATATTTAACATTGACAAGAAATTAGAAAATATCACTTGATAATTATGTTTTACAGAAAGATTAGAAGATAAACACTTGAACATCAACTATAAAGTGTTAAAAATGCAAACATTTAAAAAATCTTAAATAAAATAAGCCTGGCGGGGGAAAAGGTAAAGCCCCACCTGGTGGCCCGCCAGGCTTATGATACACTGAGGAAAACCTGCAAATCATTAATAAACTGTTACAATCCCAGATTCTGTATTTTGTAACTATTTCATCCATAACTAAATATTTAAACATTTTGTCTAAGGTTACCTTTTGCCTTCTCCAGTTCTTCTTTGCATTCTTCATGTTCCTTTTTCCACTTATTGATTTCTTTCTCTCTTTCACCAAGTGTGAACTTTAACTGATTCTCTTTCTGTTCTTGTTGTTTCATTTGTTCGGTCAGTTTATTGATCTCGTCTGTTTGGGAAACAAAACATAATGAATTACGTTTAGCAGAAGCAATATTTTATAATTAATGTTCAAAATATTATTAAACCAGAATGTAAATAAAGACATGTTAGTCTGGAGAAAACCTAAATTCTACATAATATTCACCATTTTCTATTTTATTTTCCATTAAATGTCCTGGACATCAGTTCAATGTCTGTCACAAATTAGTTTGCAACCTAAAATATTCTGATTTCATGGAGCTCTGTGTCCAATACTTTATTGTTTATCTCAGATTTCCAGTTTGATTTTGTTTTCTTTGAGTTTACCTCTTTCATTTCTCAGTCTGGATATGAAATCTTTCTCTTTCTTTTCTTGTTCTTCTATTTTCTCTGTCAGGCTAAAATTGTTTTCTGTGTTGGAAACAAAAGATACAAACGTAAAAATAAAACAGAAATAAAATATTGTCATCAAATGTTTCAGAAAATAACCATAACCTGAGTTTGGAGGAGTGAAAGTTTGAAGTGAAATATAAATTTAAACCCTAAACTCCACCACAACTTTGTTCTTTTCCTCTAATCCTTTTACATTTGGTCAAATCAAACTGAATTACCTCAATATTTTTATTCCTGATGAAAATATTTAATGTTGACAAGAAATTAGAAAATATCACTTGATAATTATGTTTTATTGAAAGATTAGAAGATAAACACTTGAACATCAACTATAAAGTGTTAGAAATGCAAACATTTAAAAAATCTTAAATAAAATAAGCCTGGCGGGGGAAAAGGTAAAGCCCCACCTGGTGGCCCGCCAGGCTTATGATACACTGAGGAAAACCTGCAAATCATTAATAAACTGTTACAATCCCAGATTCATTTTGTAACTATTTCATCCATAACTAAATATTTAAACATTTTGTCTAAGGTTACCTTTTGCCTTCTCCAGTTCTTCTTTGCTTGTTTTCAGTTCATCTTCTCGTTCACCAACTCTGGTCTTTAACTGATTCTCTCTCTGTTTCTTGTTCTTTCATTTGTTCGGTCAGTTTATTGATTTTGTCTGTTGGGGGAACAAAATATACAAACTTCCAACCTCAATTCTTTGATTACAAGAATATCTACAGTCATTTGTTCATGGTGATGATGATGATGATGATGATGATGATGATGATGATGATGATGATGATGATATTACTAATATTATTATTATTATAATTATTATTATTATTCATCCAGTCTAAAAATGAGGCAGAACAAATTTTGTTCTTTCGCTGAATCATCAATAAACTGTTACAATCTCAGATTCTGTATTTTGTAACTAATTCATCCATAACTAAATATTTAAACTTTTTGTCTGAGTTTACCTTTTGCCTTCTCCAGTTCTTCTTTGCTTGTTTTCAGTTCATCTTCTCGTTCACCACTCTGGTCTTTAACTGATTCTCTTTCTCTTCTTGTTCTTTCATTTGTTCGGTCAGTTTATTGATTTTGTCTGTTTGGGAAACAAAACATACAAACTTCAGTTTAGCAGAAACAATATCTTATAATCAAATGTTCAAATTATAATTAAAACCGAGTGTAAATGAAGATATGTTACTGTGGAGGAGAATTTACCAAATATAATTCAGATCATTTAAAAGATTTGTGGTTGCAGGTTTGGCTCTAGGCTTAAGTTTTTATCTTAGTCACTTTATTATTTGTTTAAAATGTCAAAGAAGCTCTAAACCTGAATGTTGCTGAGTTTTCACAAAATAGAAATATTAAAGTGTATTAATAATGTGAATCAGTCTGGATCTGGTTTTAGATGTGAAAACTGTGATATGGAGAGAATCAGATCATGTTCAAACCTTCAGTCTGAAAATCATCATCAAATCTCAGCATTAGTTATTTTATCATGTTTGGACTGATAAATTGCTGTAACTATTTAACTATTTAGGTTTCATGGTCCAATGGAGAGTCAATGAAAAGGATCTGAGCACTAAGTTTATGTGTGAGCTTTTGACTAGGCCGTTGTGACACATACCTGGTTGTATGTTTGGATGTTTTGCTCCATCCATTATAAACCCTGAGCAGCTCATTTGTTTCTGAAAATGCAAACCTACTGCTTGTTTTTCCCACCATCATGTTTTCCATTGAGATGGAGTTTATAGAGTAATGTGTGATTTAATTTGGGTTTTCTGTGTAACTGAAAACATTACGTGTTGTCACCAGATCACCTGCTACTGCATTTCTGGAATAGCAGGTTTGACATTTATTTATTCCATATTTCTGTCTGCAGCTCTTCAACTAAATCCTGATTGTAGAACAAATACATGTCAATAGTTTTCCTGTCTGTACATTGATCAGAGTCATGCTGAATTGATTGTCTATTTTATCTTTTCAATTCATAGAAGAAGGAAACCTGTTGCCCTTTATACCCCATGGGGCTCAGTACTGCCCCCTATCAGTTCCTTCTGCCTCACCTGCATATTTATAGCCAATCTGAAGGTAATGAAAAGTTTACTTTATTTTGGGGGATTGTAGTAAAGGGGCTGAATACAGATGGAACCATTGATCATATTTTGCTTCAAGCTATGTGTTGAGTTAAAGGAGAGGTGAAAAGTTTTGGAAATTATTTTGGACCAAGAGAAATTATAGAGACAGTTGATTTTTAACTGATTAGTTTCTACATAATATTCAAAATAACATTTAGATAAAAAAGATCTAATAATAAAGCAAATTATTTCACTTATTTTGATAAATATGAATCAATGACAAAATACTGTTAAGGTAAATATGAATATTGGGACTTAACTTACCTTTAAAAATAAGGATGAACCCAATGGTGAGAGAGGAAGAAAATGCCACTATGTAAACTAAAATAACAACACAATGTTATTTACTTTAAAAATGCCCAGAATAAATTAAGTCTAATTTCATTAAGAACAAGAAATCCTCTCTGATTAAAGGTTAAGCAGATTATTCACCCTGAGGGCAAAGGTCACTTACATATGAGTGGATGAGGAGAAGGATGACAACAGGAGGAGGGACAGGTGCAATTAACAACACAACTAAATATGTTGGGATTTATTTCATCTTCTTCAACTTGGTGCATAACCTGAACCTTTTAAAAAACAAAAAATTCAGTTCAAATTTCAAATGAGTTGAGAGATTTGAAAATGTTATATTTATATACCACATCAGGTTCTGGTTCTGGTTCAGGTTCAGGTTCTGGTTCAGGTTCTGGTTCAGGTTCAGTTTCTGGTTCTTGTTTCATCTTGTCCAGAACCTGCTGCTGATCCTCTGCTGATGGTGACATAAGGCTGAGCTCTTCCTGGTTTACCTGAGAAATAATGTGAATGAGGAGAACGATGAGAACAAGGAGGGAGAAATATTCACTGAAGAATATAACTGGATAAGATGAGATGAGTTCATCTTTTTCAATTTAGTTCATAATATTCTGATAAAAAAAAAGAAAAAAATTCAGTTCAAATTTCAAACAAATTTCAAACAAGTTGAGAGATTTGAAAGTGTTATATTTACATACCTTCTCAGGTTCTGGTTCTGGTTCTTGTTTCATCTTCTCCAAAACCTCCTGTTGTGATGGTGACATTCGGCTGAGTTTATAGTTTTTTGCCAAAACATCCTTTGGATAAACGTCTAAGTCTAAGAAAAACAATGGAAAAAAAAACAATCTGAAATCTAAAACCCATCAGAGTAAAAATCCAATACAATCCATACTGAGATCATTTCAACATTTATTTACGTTTATGTATATTTTATATCCATATATAAGACTTACATGTGAATGTGGTCACAGCCAGGACAGACGCAGCAACATAAATATTTATAAAACATGACGATCAGGAGACCTGCGATGGAAAAAACTGTTACAACTTCAAAACAATAAAAGTATTTAAAGTTTCTAAAATGTGTCTGAAATCTGATAATCGTCTGTAAAATGTATATTTCTTAAGTTTTTAAATATTTATGAGAATCACTGCATTTGACAAAAACTGGTTACTGTTAGAAAATTTTAAATTTCATTGTAAAACCCTGTAATTTAAATAATAAATATATAAATAAGAACTGCATAGCAAATTAAGAGACATTCATACCTGCTCTGCAAAGGAAAGTTGTTGAATAAACTCCAACATGAAGCAGTGGATCAAAGTGCTCTGATTTGAACTTTAACCTCTGTGCTCTGTGACGAACCAAGGCGTGTCCACGACAGTTTATGGTTTATTTAGTGTTTGGTAACATCCTACAAAAATATATGAAATATATTTCACTCATAATGATATCTACTAAAATAAAAGTTTTATTACTAAATACTACAACTGTATAATTACTAATTTGACCAATAAAGTTTCAAACAGTTAAATTTCCAGTTCCTCAGACTGAGACTAGAAAACGGCGTCCGGCGCCTCAATCTAAATGAAAACTGTTGGTTTTATTCACGTCAGTGAATAGACCATAAAAATTTTTAACCTAAACCCATACACACACACCTACACACACACCTGTTTGCATTTCTACCCATATAATAACTTTGTATTGACTTTAATTCATTTAGTAACTTATTATTGCATAATCCCTCTTTGTGTTATAGTAACATTCTGTTCTTCACTGAAAACCTTTGGTCAGAATATTTATCTGACACTTTAAGACGTATAAAACTCTCTGACAACCTGAACCAGGATTTATAATCCTTGGATGCTCTCAAACGTCAAAGGTTTTGTCTTTTTTTCCCAATCTTGTGTCCAAAATATGTTTCATTTGCTTTGGACTGGCTGTAAAATGAGTAAATGTTTAACAAAATGATGTATTTAAAGACCCATTATCGTTTTATAATGGTGCAGAGAGCAACACTTAATGTGTAAACCTTAAACCAGTCAGTTTGAAAGTGAAACTAAAATGTAAATGTGTAAAAACAGATATTTATGTTTTTATCCACTGTTGATATGTTACTAAAAATAAAGATCTTAATTACAAAACTTCCTGTAGTTTTATAGGAAATAAAGCCTTATGTGTTCATTTTTTTTAGGTACTTGTTACAAAATTTTTTTTTATATTAGTAACAGTGACTTATGTTCACCTGTATAAGCAGACAGAGATAATGGATATTAAAACACCAAAGGCCAATGAGGCTCCATTTCCATTTGCACCACTGGCCCTTTAAGATGTACTGGTACCTGAAGAGAAGAAAAACTGATTGATACACAAACATACAAAACCATTTTGTCTTTTTAAATAATTAATGAGCCTGCAACTCCAAACTGGTGCCTGAAAGAGAAACCTCCTTCCCTCCAGCAGGTAGATCAGTTATTCGGCCTCCCAGCAGAACACCAGCCCCCGATGCCGACTCGTTCTGGTCTTCTTCTCAGATTCAGCAAGAATCTTGTCTTATTCGACCCTCTTTCCGATTTTTTGGGGGGCCGGAGTGGTGAGGGACAGGTTCACAGGACCCCACTATATGAAGACATGTCCATCTCATAGCGATTCAAACTTAACCTCATTGCCCTCAGTGCAAAATGAAAACAGTGAACCAAGCATTTATCTGTATTTGCCTTTCTGAATGCAGCAGCGTCTTAATTAAAACCTGGGAGACGCAGCACATTCTAAAGTCACCCATCGTCCAGCACAGCTTAGAGAGCAGACCAGAAACGCTGCAGGTTCATAAATCTCTGATTGTTCCAGCATCTCCACGCATTAAACATCTGCTGTCGTTTCATCCTACTGGTCCATTGGGTTTTCTGGTTCTGATCTGCTCTGCCTCCCCAGAACCAAACAAAAGCATCATTCAGCCACATGCACAACAAACCCTGAGAATTTCAGAAAATACCACAACACAGCCAAATCAAAAGTCTTTTAAATCTAGTGTAAACCCACCTTTTTAGGAGCTTTTTGGCATAATTTAAGAATTATTAACCAGCTGCGCCTAACAAGGCTCGATGAGCCTGCAGGCCCCGGCCGTCGTCGTCCCGACGCTGCCATCTTTAAAGCTGCTGTTCACCCACATGCTAAGCCTTCCTCATCGCATCATCTAGCACTCGCCATTAACTCTGCTTCCCCACAGGCCATTTGAACATCCAATCAACGTTATTTCTCAAGTTCCTCACATTGGCATGGCGCTTTCTGCACAGCTCGAAAACCTTGTGACAAGGTCCGAACCTTCATTATTCGTTCAACCGTCTCTACCTTCAGCTCCCTGGCATTTCAGTGGCAACATACTCGATCCCCTGTGACTTTAAGAACTATGAACTTCTTTTGGGGAATCAATATTTAGCTTAGCATTTTACTTTTGCCTTTCTATAGGTTCTGTACTTCCTGCTAAAGCTCTTTAAATTGCCTTGTTGCCAGAAATATGCGACATAAATAAAAAATCTTTCCTTGATGAATATTGGGTAAAAACGGTATTTAAATCCATCACCTAATGTAGCTTATCTCTGCAGGTGTTTGTTCACCATCCCTGTTCTGGTGAACTGCCAAGACGCCACTCCCCTCTTGCTGCTTCTTTGTCTCTGCCTGCTACAGATGAGAACCAGGTGGAGTCAATCTCCTGGCAATCGGAAAAGTGTATTTTAGGTGTGGCTGACCTCTGACTCTTGTTTGAGAGAGTGAGAGGCACAGCATGTGTGACAAACAGTGCTGATCGCATGCAAGGTGCAAACTGTGCAAATCTTTAAAAAACTGTGAAGGACAGCCGGTAAGCTCCTAATATTGTTTGACATGGACTCTAACTGTTTAATTGTTTTAATGAAAAAAAAGAAATGTATATATTTATATGCACTTGGTGTTTATTAGTTAAAGCAGAACAAATAGTGATAGAGAATGCTAATTTATTTGTGTAATTTTACTATAAAATGCTTAATATTTATTATACTGTAGAATTAAATGATTTAAATCAGTGGAAATGTATTTTGAGTTTTCACAGTGTATTTGTCCTGTTGAGTTCACAATGTAATTTAGATGTTTCTGTTTCTTTTGAGGGTTTTCACCTGTATGATTGGAGCATCATATAAAAATAAATATAACTAAAATGAAGACTCCTTGAGTGAACCCCAGTTATATTTCACAAAAAAGATCATCCTTTTCAAGTTGGGAATGCACAGTGAAACCAAACCAAGAAAAACTTGACATTCCCATTCTAGTAAATTAGTTTCAGAATGCTCACAGAGACGTTGCAGGTTCTGCATCTATAACTCTCTCACACCAGGCTGTTAGGTCAGTGATCTTGGCTCTCAATGCCTCCGTTCTTCTGTCCTGAAGTCCCCATAGCTCTGCTTGGTCTTTAAATTTCTTAGAAATCCAAGATTTATGTGCCTTCCCTTTGGCCATTTCCAGGCCTGTTTTTCTTAAATCATGGGGAACCTGGACCGCCCCTCAAGGTTCAGTCATAACTCTATTTCATCAACCCAGCCGCTGGCCGTCGACATCATCCCCCTCCGGTCTCCCAGACCTCTCCTCCATTCTCACCGCTCTCAGGCAATAGGTAAGCATTCACAACAAGTCTCTGATGGTGCAGCGTTTCAGCAGTTCCACCTTCTCTCTGTCTAGATGGACAGCGACGCCGTCAGCCTGCAGGCCCCAGCCAGGGCCCGACCCGGCATCCTCTTTTGGAGGAAGACGACCCTGAGCTTCGTCCTGAGCTGATCATCCAAGCTCACAGCGATTCTCTGCACACACATCATCTGCTGGTGTCCAAAGAACTTTGGGTAAATAAAACGTTCTAACTGCTGCTTTTAATTAAATTTTTATTACTATATTTGGAAATATAATGTATTATATATGTATATACATATATAGATATATATCTATTGATAAAAACATATATTTAGATATATATATATATATATATATATATATACATTTAATTTTACTGCTGAAAATCATTTTAAAATCACAATATGATTAATTATGTAAATGAACGGGGCTCATGGGAAATTTGTTCCCCCTCATATTTGCCCCTGTGACTTTAGAAAAGAAAGAAAAAGTAATTTTCAAAGTACATTGCCTCAGTTTATATGTCTTTGATTTGGAAGTTTTATTAAAAATTTTCAGAACTTTTATAAACAATTGTTTTTGATACAATATTTGTTATTCATTAACTTGTCATACATTTTCTGTCTTCTCTTCTATTAGCAATTCTGTAATTAAATATGAAGACAAAATTTCTGGGAATAAAATCTAACTTGATCCCACAAAATAGGA